ACTTTGATCATATTGATGATTAATAAAGGATACTTTTGGAATTTTCCAAGGTATAACATTTTGTAGCTTGTTTTCAATAAGTATATCAATTGTCCAAAGAGGTTGTATTCTACAGTGTGTCTGAATGTAATCATTGTGTAGGTGTGTAGTGTGATTCTGTGTAGTTTATTTATGGCATCCCGTTGGATTTGACGTCATCTGAACAGCACATCGCACGCTCACTGCTTGATAGCGCGCGAAGGTCCGTTTACGCCGGTTGTTAAACAACATCGTTATGGGGAAATGCAAGTCTGCGTCCAAATGGTTGGAAGATAAGGAGGAAGGACAATCAATACCGTATATAGTAAATGTGAGGTAAAGTGTGTCGCCAATGTAACCGGTTAAAACTCCAAGTGGCGATGAGGTCTTGAAATGTATGGAAAGGGTCTTAAAAAAGGTCTTAAAAGGTCTTACATTTGACTTCAGGATTCCTGCATATACCCTGATACTGTATGTAGAATTACGTAGACATCAACAGACTCACCTGTTCTGTCTGACAGTGGTGGTAGAAGGCATAGAAGTATGTTGGTGATCCAAAGCTGGAGTGCAGGTCAGCTGTGGCAACAGCTGGCGCGACCCACTGGTGGTCGGTGAAAAGGGCCAGCAGTGTTTTCCTGCGGGTCTCTGGGTTGTGCCTGTCGGCCCAGTCTGTATACATGAACTTGATGGTCTCTCTGAGGATGTCTTTACCCTCTGGGTAGCCATAGAGGTCATCCACAAAACTGGACACGGCGTAGTCAAAGTCGTTTGCCTGAACGCCGTTTTCGTTGTCCACGATAAGCTCCACGAACTTAAGGCCCTCGCCCTGGTTCACTCCCAGCATAATATCATAGTTCAGGAACTCACCTGGAAAGAGATGGTGCAGATGGTAGTCAAAAATAATAAATATAGGATAAAGATATTGTTGAACATTTATGACTATTAAAGGTGCAATGGGAATATCTCTTAAGATTCACGTCTCATCCTAACCACTCCAAAGAAAGAGAGGGCAGTGTTTCACAAAGAACATTCCAAATGTTCCAAAAATCTGAGAGACAGCCCAAAAAAATGCTCTCTTAAAACCATGTATGGCTTGAACTTTGTGTGTTCACTTTGGCAGTGGGAGCTGCACTATAGGACTGATTTGCTGGGATGAGACGTGAAGCGGCTTTGGGGACCGAGCTTCAGTTAGCAGCTGTGGTAGCTCGGACTCGGCACTCGAAGCACTGGGAGTCACATGGGCCGGGCAAGTGCTGAGTCTAATTTGTGTTACAACAGCAAAATAAACTTTGATGATCCAGCGGAATGAGAACCAAGAGCCAAGGGAGCTCTGGCTAAAAATGAGCTAAATGCTAACTGCTAAAAAAAGCTCTATGCCCGAAACAAAGCATTCTACGGAGCCCTGGGGCCCACGTTTTACTTATTCATGAATTATGGCGCTGTCAGGACACGTCTCCATGTTTGTGATTGGTCAAATGTTGCTGACCTCGTCCCTTTCACGTGAACGCGCTCTCAGTCGGACAGAGAAACCCTGGTTTATTTACTGAGTTGATAACCAGCTTCGTAGGACCGCTTAGCGACATCGCGTTTGTTAGGGTTAGTTAAGCCGGGTAAATCAAACATATCCAGGGTCTGTTGAACTGGCTTCGTCGTACAGGCACTGGAGGCAGTAACGTGTAACTCAGCAGAATCTGAGAAGAGCATGCACCAGCTGCAAAGAGCTCTGCCTTTTACTGTTTACTTCACTGCGTTTCCCTTCATTAGAACCGCTGAATAGAGATCGAGGCTGCTACTGTACGTTTAACCACACACACCTCAACACACATCGAACTACCAGAGTATTCCCCCTCGTTTTATGAAGGAGATGTCCTGTCACCGGGGCGCATGATGTGTGTGTCTGTGTTTGTGCTCAGCTCCGCTCCGCTCTGTGTGTGCGTGTTTGGTGTGTTTGTGTGTGTCCGACACCACCGGCATTTGTTTTCAAATTACCACGAACAGTAATTTACACAAATCTGGTTCTCCATAGTTATATGTGTATTCCCAAGTGAAAGAAATGTGTTTAATCTTAATCTCGATGTGCTATAGTCCTGCCGGAGTGCATCGGAACGAACAACACTATCATAAACAAATGCCCCACACACACACACACACACACACACACACACACACACACACACACACACACACACACACCCTGGCGACCGGACATATTCTTCATAAAACTAACCTCAATTTAAATAAAACGAGGCAACGCTTTATTAACTCGTGCTCAAGAGTTAATAAAGCGTTTGCACGAGAAGGTATCTCGTGCGAACGAGAAAGTAAAACGTGGCCACGTTTTATAAATGTTTCTCTCTATGAACCCTCCAGGGCTCCGTAGCATACAACTTGCAGGAATCATGTGTTTTATATTAAATAGCCAGTGGGAAAAGCTGTTTTTTTACTGGACTGAGGGCAGACTGGACGCTACAGGAACTCACTATTGCCTCTAGAGGAACAAGTGGTATTACAAGAAAGGTCGGGCCTGGGCTAGTGAGTTAGCATGCAAACTTCAGTAGATATTTCTGAAACACAATACATCCATGTCTTTGACATAGCATCTCTATTATATCCCCTTTACAATCTGTTGATAATGTTCATTGTTGAATGTTTTATCTTACACATTGCACTTCCAAACAAAGGGAATTGATACCTTGCTCCATGAGTATCTGCGGGTCATCAGGTATAACATCTCCATCAATGACAGGTCCAAAGGCGATGTGGTAGCGAGCCGGCTGGATGTCTTGATCCACCAGCTCTTTGTAATGTTTTCTCTGCAGGCAGCTCACAAGCTCCACAGTGTCCTCCAGGTTACAGCCCACCTTACGGGCCAGCATCCGGGCGTACTTGGCTGGCTGAAAGCTGACCGCCCAGCTGGACAGAGCCGTGCCACTCATGGCGATGGCCCTCTGGAACAGTCCTGGAGAAAAAACAGCGGAGGAGGAAACAAAGCATCTATAATTATCCTAAAATCAGGCAGGACATTGAGGTGAGGAAAGTAAGGTTCAGGGACCAAACACTCCCTCTTAAGATACCAGCATTTCTTTATTACCTGGGTAGACTAAATATGCAAAATCAATCTATCATCTTTATCTTGAAAAGTTAAGGATGGTTATTATCTGTTTTCTAAAAACTCATCAATGAGCACTGGGTGACAGGTTGCTTTACCATGAATACAACCACTGTAAGTCAGAGTAGTTTTAACAGAGCTGTGCCTTACAACTGTGATACAAATCAACGTCTATATGTTTAAATGTCAATTGTAATAATAATTGTTGTTCGGAAGATGGCCTCTATCAAAGCTGGATTTTTATTCTGATTATTATGAGATAAAGAAATAATTACGCATCAAATTACATCATAACTTGAATTTACATCATTACATGAATTATTATTCAGATCAGATTTTTGAAGTGTGTGTCTCCCTGCCTTTAGAGACAACTCGTTCTAGTTAGTCATGGGTCATTCTACACCATGCATGGTAGGAAATGTTTATTTCACTTCTGGAGAGTTTTTCTTTGGTATCAGTTTGCTTGGCCAGGTGGCCAATTATGTCATCATCACGATTGTTGTGGAGTTATAGTCAAATACAGGAGCAGCCACAAAATTAGAAAACAATGAAGACCAAAAAAACAGTATCTGCCAAACGATTGAGTTTCCTCTGCACCAAGCCCTCATGGTCACAGAGCACTGCATGCATACTTAAATAGACACAAAGCTCCTAACGCTAATTCCCTGGTAAATTGTGATTCTTTTTTTACCTTTAGTGGAGTTGCTCCAGCGGTTTCCCTCGGAGTAGTGAGAGAGAGTGAGCAGGTTGACACAGGAAGCTCCGGCGCCAGAGCCAAACACGGTGATACGTAACGGGTCGCCGCCGAAGGCTGCAATGTTTTCACTGGTCCAACGCAGAGCCTGGATCTGGTCCAGCAAACCGTAATTCCCCTTGGCTGCTTGGTCACCTGTACTCAAGAAGCCTGCACGAGAGGACACAGAAGAGAGGGGGTGTTAGGAGTCTTATCCTTCTTTTTGTTAGTAATAGCAATGATATTACTTTACACAACTACAACCAACATACGTGTATACAAATGTAATAGCAAGAGCAAGATCCTTTATTTTAAAACGTTTTACTGTCATATGCAATAGCTTTGTGTTGGCAATACAAATATTTTGTCCCATGTTCTTCCTAAAAGTTCTACCTGCAATATACTTAAGACATACGAAAAAAGACATAAAATAGTGCAAGTGAATGAAAATTGAGTAAGTGAAGAAAATCATAAATATTGTGTCTAGTGATTTGGTACAATGTATTAACAAAACACTTCTCAAATGAACAAAATACAGGGCTTCCTGTTTGTGAAATAGTAAACAAGTATTGTTGTGCTGTAATAAGCCATACACAAGTTAACATAGAAATATTCAAAGTTATTAAGTTTAAAGCAAATAATTAATGTTAGAGAAAATACTCTAATAAGGTATGAGCATACATCACAAGTGAACTATTTCATACTCATTTGTCTAAAATAAAATAAATAAAATGTTTTTTTATCATTGCTGAAATTTAGCTTAAATATAGCCACAGTGAAATTGTTAAAAGATGATTATTGTATATACAAATAGCTGTTAACCTTTTTGTGATGTTGTGATCTGTAATTATCAGAAGCAGTTTTGAGTTTGCCTCTACATTTTTATCACAAGACCAACATTGACAAATAAGCGATAATCAGACTAAAGAAATGTTAAAAAGCACCAACATCACTTGAAATGGATTTTCAGACACGTTTCACAAAGAGTGAAATCATTTGAAGAGCTTTTATTTTTCTCAAAATAAATATATTGTATTCATAGATCTGTTGGGGTTCATCTGTTTATTTCCACTTATTTTCTCTTTCATCTCCATGATTAAAATAAAAATAAACAAACATCTCTTTTCGGATCATCCAACCATAACTGTCTGTAGATAACGAGACATATTTCTCTCTTGTACATGGACAAACCAACAAGCCTGGATGTTTGATAATTTGCTGCAATAAAACAAGAGTTATTGCCCCGTAGAGCCACTTAGAGTGGGGATACGCTAAATATAACACAGGCAGGCTCATTTTGGAGAGAATCTCATTTAACACTATTAGTCTAGATGGAAATAGGGGTCCACGCGCACCCCTCGGAATTTTTTATGCCGCCTGATTTTTCTTAATCCTTAAAGTGTCTACTTTCAGAATCTGCCAGGTGCCAAGCTGAAATAATGTCCGAAAGGCTCCATTTTTAACCCTTTATTGCACCTAACCCAAAACCGAAACATTACAATTTGATGTAGCAAGAGGCATAACCTTTGAAGTAAACAACATACAGAGACAAATGAATACATTTTTCCATACAATTCTGACCCTAGGAATTCAATGGGATGGTTATTGTTGACCTTTGACAACATTTTGACTATTTCTGGACAAAAACAGCAAAAAATGCAAAAAATGTGTCTGACCAATTACTTTTTTATTTTTTCAAACGCATAGAGTGAATATTTGTTGACAATCAGTTTTTTTTCAATCCTCCGAGTGTTTATTTTGAGATTATATTGGGTACCAAACTGAAATAATGTCTCAAAGGCTAGTTTTAATCCTTATAGCACCTAACCCAAAAATCGAAAAATGAAAATATAATGTAGAAGAGGCATAACTTTTGAAGTAGACAACTTACAGAGCGAAATTAATAAATTTTCCCACACAATTTTGATCCTAGGAATTCAATGGGATGGTTATTGTTGACATTTGACAACATTTTGACTGTATTTCTGGACAAAAACAGCAAAAAAAATGCAAAAAAATGTGTCTGACCAACTACTTTTT